CAGCCCAGTATTTGTAACAACCATGATGTGGATTATAATTTTGGTTTCACAACTTACAAAGTGCATTCAATGATTTCACAATAATTCTTTTATAAATGACAAACTGGTGTGCCTTTGGCTTTACACATTAAACTGCATTCCTAGCTTTACATTAAACTGCATTCCTGACTACACATTATACTGCATTCCTGACTTCACATTATACTGCATTCCTGACTTCACATTATACTGCATTCCTGGCTTTTCTGCAAGTAACCTTGTACAAAACACTACAAAATATTTTTGTATTCCACACAATTTTGCACTGCAGCTTAGCAATTGCAAAAGTTGAATAAGCCTGTTGAAGGTTCCAGCCCATAAAACTTAACTCCATGAAAAATATATCTGAAGAGTTTGATGTACGTCTTTATACAATTAGGTAACTCTTCCGCCTTATGATAGACAAGAGTATCGAGCCTTCACCACTTCCCACATTTATTATTGTAAACACAAACTGATACAATAATTTAGGAATTACCATTTAAGTTACAAGATGTACGAATTTCGAAAAGGAAGTAGGCTAAACTTACTAAAGATAAGAGATCAGAGAGTCAACTGCTCCATCATTGTATAAAAAAAATACCTAGTTTCGGTAGCCTCATGCACCATGTACATTGAAAATACAGTGGACCCCCGGTTAACGAACTTTTTTCATTCCAGTAATATGTTCAGGTGCCAGTACTGACCGAATTTTTTCCCATAAGGAATATTGTGAAGTAGATTAGTCCATTTCAGACCCCCAAACATACACGTACAAACGCACTTACATAATTGGTCGCATTTGGAGGTGATCGTTAAGCGGGGGTCAACTGTACTTCTAAAATTCTGTATTTGCATTTAAAAAACTTACCTGGAGTTACCTCTGTCAAGATGTCGTTGAAATGTGTGGACACAAGTTACCTGTCAAGTTGATTACCCGAGACAAACATCTGTATAAAACAATCTTTAAATAAAAAAAAAAAAAAAAGTTTAATTTACAAGTAGACACAATATATCTGTAATAAAATCCATATGAAACAGAGTATTAATTTCAATAATTTCATTCACTGAATATGTAAAAAAAAAGTGATTGTTGTATCGAAGTGTTACAGACTGTTGGTGATTGTGGTAGTGGTGATTACTGTAGTGTTGACTGGTGGTTTTTAAGTGCCAGGTTAATTACAGAGCAATGTAAATTTTTGAAAAAGAATATACAATGGCAAACATTAAACTGCATTAATACACCAATGTAAATCAATTAAAAAAATTTAAAAGCACATATAAAACATTAGGTAAACATAAGGTAATTAACATTAGATGATATAAAACATTAGGTAAGAAACATTAGAAGATATTAAACATTAGAAAATATAAAACATTAGAAAATATATAACAGGATATAAAACATGAGAAAATATATAAAACATTAGGATATAAACATAAGACATAAAACATTAGAAGCTATAAAACAAAATATAAAACAGGTATAAAACATTTTAAGATAATACAAAAAATGTTATAAATATGAAACATTAGGAAATATAAATATAAAACAAAATATAAATGTAAAACATTATAAATACATTTAAATACAAAACATTAGAAAATATATGAAACATTAGAAAATATAAACATCAGAATGCATAAAACACTGGGTATAAAACATTAGAAATGAAGCATTAAAATATAAAACAGAAGGTATAAAGGAAACATTAGAAGGTATAAAACATTAGAAGGTATAAAACATTAGATGGAATAAAACATTAGATGGAATAAAACATTAGAATATATAAAACACTAGGCAGTATAAAACAGTTTAAAACAATATGGTTGGCAGTTTAAATAAATGCAAGAGGCAGTTTCATATATTAAGCAGGACAGTACTACCTAGGGTGACAGTAGCCTCAGGCTGATAGTGCCCCAGTGCTACCCAGGTTGATAGTGCCCAAGTGCTACCCAGGCTGATAGTGCCCAAGTGCTACCAGGTTGATAGTGCCCCAGTGCTACCAGGTTGATAGTGCCCCAGTGCTACCCAGGCTGATAGCCCAAATGCTACCCAGGCTGATAACAACCCAAGCACTACCCAGACTGATAGTAGCCCCAGGTATAAACAGCCCAGGTGAGAGCAGCACCCAGGTGTGAGCAGCACCTAGGGATGAACATCACCTAGGTGTGAGCAGCACACAGGTATAAACAACCCAGGTTTAAACAACCCAGGTATAAACAACCCAGGTATGAGCAGCACCCAGGTGTAGCACCAGGTATGTGCAGCATCCATGTATAAACAGCCCATGTATGAGCAGCACCCAGGTGTAGCATCCTGGTATGAGCAGCACCCAGGTATGAGCAACACTCACACCTCTTATTAAACAAACACGTTCCCAAAATATAAATCTTATAAATACCAGTTTAATATAAAATAAATATAACAGAAGGTAAAGTACATAGCAAGGAATACATGAAGAAATATTAACTTACTTCATGTTAGTTGTCCTGGTTTAACTAACTACTTGCCCAATATAAGTGTTATGAGGTTACTGGTGAAATTATCCAAGGGTTGAGAAGTTCAAATATCTTGCTGGTGTTGAGAAGTTCAAATATCGTGCTGGGACTGAGAAGTTCAAACATCTTGCTGGGGGTTAAGTTCAAACATCTTGCTGGGGGTTGTGAAGTTCAAACATCTTGCTGGGGTTGTGAAGTTCAAACATCTTGCTGGGGTTGTGAAGTTCAAACATCTTGCTGGGGGTTGTGAAGTTCAAACATCTTGCTGGGGGTTGTGAAGTTCAAACATCTTGCTGGGGTTGTGAAGTTCAGATTTCTGGAATGACAAAATGCCCATTTCACTTGACTGTAATATGAAGCCTACCAAAAGGTAAATATTGGAAATGCGTAAGTAGCACAGATTGTCAATGACACCAATGAGTATCACATGTAAATGCTAAACCCATGAGGCTCACACAGCACCTGGGGAATGAGAGGTAATCTGGTTTGAGCTAAGGGCAGTTAACTATAATTCTCTGGATCAAGAGCCTCACACTAGAGAATTATTATAATGGGGGAGAGCTAAACCCATAAGATTATACAGCACATGTGGGGGGGGGGGGCATGGAAGGTATTCAGTCAATTCAGGGAACTGGAGCACAGATCCAATTCCCTAGATCAAGAGCCCCATACCAGCATCAAGGGGTGACACTTGAGAAGGTGAGATGTTCCACCACAAACTAACATGGTCAATAGTCCATCAATATTCCTAACACCTTCACCATCATGACTTAATTCACCATCACTACTATGGAGTGAATGATGATTAAAGTATTTCTTCTTTTCTGGGTCACTACCTCAGTGAGAAACGGCTGATGTGTTAAAAAAAAAAAGGGGGGGAATTTTAAATATAAAATACTGTATGAATTTTGAGGAATGAGCAGCATATTTTTTAATGGATTTTTAATAGCCTAATTAAAACCAAATAAGGAAAAAAAAGTTGCTTCAGTCAATATATTTTGGATTTTAAAATGCACTGTGGAAATACGCTAATTACTCTAGTTACTTTTTCAAATTTAAAGTCTATCTACTACATGAGGGTTTAATTAAGTTTGCATGTAACCTGTTGACTGTCAAGAATACTTGACAACCATCATGGAGATTGAAATTCAACATTTATACATCTTTCTTCTTTCTTTCAACACGCCGGCTGTATCCCACTGAGGCGGGGTGGCCCAAAAGGAAAAACGAAAGTTTCTCCTTTTACATTTAGTAATATATACAGGAGAAGGGGTTACTAGCCCCTTGCTCATGGCATTTTAGTCGCCTTTTACAACACGCATGGCTTACGGAGGAAGAATTCTGTTCCACTTCCCCATGGAGGAAAGAGGAGATAAACAAGAATAAGAACTAGTAAGAAAATAGAAGAAAACCCAGAGGGGTGTGTGTGTATATATATGCTTGTACATGTATGTGTAGTGTGACCTAAGTGTAAGTAGAAGTAGCAAGATGTACCTGAAACCTTGCATGTTCATAAGACAGAAAAAAAAAGACACCAGCAATCCTACCATCGTGTAAAACAATTACAGGCTTTCGTTTTACACTCATTTGGCAGGACGGTAGTACCTCCCTGGGCGGTTGCTGTCTACCAACCTACTACCTAGGACATTTATATATAACCCTCTTATATATATAGTCCTTTCTAAAAGTTCCTCTTATACGCTTAAAAGGTATGTTTTTTGAATTTAATGTAAAAATTAATTATGTACCAAAAGTACCTTAGAAAACTTACCTAACCTTATTATAACAAGTGCAATTTAATTTAGCAAGTTTAAAATAATTTAATAAACAACGAAATATATATTTTTTTTTTATTAGGTTCAGAATGATTTTTGAGAAATTATTGAATATACAAAGTTTCGCTTGCCTTATTTGGCAAGAAGAGCATTGTTATTTAAACCAAAATCACAAGTTTTACCTATTTGGCACGACATACTTATACACACACACATACGTATCTCCATGGGGAAGTGTGTAAGCCGTGCGTGTCTTAAGAGGAGAGTAAAATGCCGGGAGCAACTGGTTAGTAACCCCTTCTTTCTAAATTTAGTAATGTATACAAAGAACTTTCGTTTTTCTTTTCGGGGCACCACCCCGCCTCGGTGGGATACGACCGATTTGTTGAAAGAATACACACACACACTGGCCGTCTCCCACAGAGGCAGGATGAGAAACACTTTCACAGTCATTCACAGCATCATTATCTTTGCAGAGGTGCACAGATAAGACAGTTCAGATATCACTCCAAACAGCAAATATCTAAAACCTCTTAAATTGTAGGCACTGTACATCCACCTCCAGGACTCAAGTCCAGCTAAACTTTTTTCCTGAATACCTTCACAAAATATTACCCTGCAACTCAGGGTACACACGAAATATAGCATCTGTTTCTACTACTCCACTATAAGGCAGATGACAAATTTTGTACCTATATTAAAACAAACGTGAATATATAACCAGGTAGTCTGAGCTGTCTGACCCTTGTAGGTTTAGCGCTTCTTTTTATTATAAGTGATTATAATAAGCAGGTATTAAACCTCAGCAAACACTTCATAAACAAGTACCATATCTGGACCACAAACACTTAATATTTGAGATACTGTGGACTCCCGGATTACATCATCGGATTACATAAAATTTGGATTGAGTAAAGTTTTTGCATGAAAATATTGGTTAATGACAAAACTCGGTTAAAGTCATGTCCCGAATGTGTCCACGTGGATTGAGAAGCCCTGCCACTCCATGTACAGCCAGTGCGCTGTTGTTTATAAGCCAGTGAGGACAATTCTACGTGTACATGCGATACATTTTGTATTATTCCATTGTTTTTAGTGCTTGTAACTGCTAAATAAGCCACCATGGGCCCAAAGAAAGCTTCTAGTGCCAGCCCTGTGGTAAAGAGGGTGAGAAATACTATTGAATTCAAGAAAGATCATAGCAAAATATGAAAGTGGAGTGCGTGTCTCCAAACTGGCAGGTTGTAAAACAAACCCCATATAGCCATTGCTACTATCTTGGCCAAGAAAAAGGCAATCAAGGAAGCTGTTGTTGCGAAAGGTGCAAATATGCTTACAAAACAGAGATCGCAAATACTCGAAGATGTGGAGAGATTGTTGTTGGTGTGGATCAACGAGAAACAATTATCAGGAGATAGTGTTTCGCAGTCAATTATACGTGAAAAATCAAGGCATTACGTGAAAAATCAGGCATTAAGAAAATGCCTGAAACTAGTGCTGATATTGATGAATTTAAGGCCGGCAAAGGCTAGTTTGAGAGATTTAAGAATCGTAGTGGCATACACAGTGTGATAAGGCATTGTGAGGCTGCCTGTTCTGCCAAAAAACAGCTGAAAAATGTGTGTAGGAATTTAAGGGGTACATAGAGGTTGAAAAATTAAAACCCCAACAAGTGTTCAGTTGTGATGAAACAGGCCTGTTTTGGAAGAAAATGACAAACAGGACCTACATTACTCAGGAGGAAAAGGCACTCCCAGGACACAAGCCTATGAAAGACAGGCTAACTCTCATGTTTTGTAGTAATGCTAGTGGGGATTGCAAAGTGAAGCCTTTACTCGTGAATCACTCGGAAACTCCCAGTGTGTTCAAGAAAAACAGTGTCGTCAAGACTAAATTGTGTGCGATGTGGAGAGCAAACAGTAAGGCATGGGTCATGAGGGACATATTCTATGATTGGTTCCATGACGTGTTTGGCCCCACTGTGAAAAATACCTCCTGGAAAATAAATTGCAACTCGAGTGCCTCCTGGTATTAAACAATGCTCCTGCTCATCCTCCACACTTGGAAGAGCAAATGGTGCCAGAGTTTAGTTTCATCAAAGTCAAGTTTTTGCCTCTAAACACCACTCCTCTCCTCCAGCCCATGGACCAGCAGGTCATGTCAAATTTCAAAAAACTGTACACCAAAGCAGTGTTTCAAAAGTGCTTTGAAGTGACCTTAGACACTGAATTGACCCTAAGAGAGTTCTGGAAAGACCACTTCAGTATCCTCAGTTGCATAAACCTTATAGGTAAGACTTGGGAGGGAGCGACTAACAGGACTCTGAACTCTACTTGGAGAAAATTGTGGCCAGAATGTGTACAAGATGGATTTTGAAGAGTTTGGGGCTGACCCTGAGGAGCCTATGCCAGTTGTGGAATCTATTGTGGCATTGGAGAAGTCCATGGGGTTGGAGGTTAGTGGCGAGGATGTGGAAGAGTTGGTGGAGGATGACGATGAAGAGCTAACCACTACAGAGCTGCAAGAGCTTGAGGTGCAACACCAACAGACCACAGCTCAGCCATTTCCTTCAAAGGAGGAGGATTATTATTATCATAATCAAAAAGAAGTGCCAGAGGAGGAGGAGGAAGAGATGGAGGAAGCTGCTGCCTTCAAAGATTAAGGACATTTGTGCAAAGTGGATTGAAGTGCAAACCTTTATGGATGAACATCACCCTGACACAGCTGTTGCAGGCCGTGCTGGCAACATCTACAATGACAATGTTGTGTCCCATTTTAGGGAAATCATTAAGAGATGCCAGAAACAGAGCTCTCTGTATAGATTTTTGGTGCAATAGGGGTCCAGTTACTCAAGTTGGTCTTAGTGCCATTAAACAACAAAGAAGGGCATTAACCCCTGAAAAGGATTTGCTACCTGAAGTCTTTATGGAAGGGGATTCCCCTTCCAAACAATAATACACCTCCATTCTCTCCCCTCCTCCCATCTCATCACTCATCAATAAGTCTTCAAAGGTAAGTGTCATTTTAGTATTGTTTATTCTGCATGTCTCATTGTTTTCTGTGTAGGAAAATGTATATATCATGTGAAAAAATTATTTTGTTTAATACTTTTGGGTGTCTGGAATGGATTAATTGGATTTCCATTATTTCTTATGGGGAAAATTAATTCAGATTATGACAGATTTAGTTAAAGACATGCTCTCTGGAACAAATTAATGTCATAATCCAGGGGTCCACTGTAAATTTAAATTTAGTAACAAAAAAATTTTGTAAATCAAATCTGATTTACTCCTTTTAAAGGGAGAGTTCCTTAATGCTAGTGAAGGGCTCTTGATTCAAGGAACTGAATCTAGAGCCTATTGCAAAAGATCTCATTACTTCCCATTGTATGCCACCTACTGATTTACTATGAAAAACAAAAATAGTAACCCCATGGCCTGGCTGGCAAAGCTCTTGCTTCACACACGGAGGGCCCAGGTTCGATTCCCAGCGGGGTAGAAACATTTCAACACGTTTCCTTACACCTGTTGTCCTGTTCACC